CTTCTTTCTCTTTCATTTTCTTTCCTTCCTTCCCTTCTTTTCTTTTTCTTTCTCTTTGTTTCTCTCTCTCTCTTGCTCTCCCTTTCTTTATTCTTTGTCTCTCTCTCAACTTCTGCTCTTTCTCATTTTTCATTTTTGGCAGGGTCTGGCTGTGTCACCTAGGCTGGAGTGCAGTGGCACAATCTCTGCTCACTATAGCCTCTGCCTTCCAGGTTCCAGCAGTCCTCCCGCCTCAGCTATCTTCTGAATTGCTGGGACTACAGGCTTGCAACGCCATGCCTGGCTAATTTTTATACTTTTTTGGAGAGACAGGGCTTCAGTATGTTGTCCTGGCTGCTCTTGGATTCTGAGCTCAAGAGATCTGCCCATCTTGGCATCCCAACGTGCTGGGATTACAGGTGTAGGCCACCGTGCCCAGCCAAGCCTTGCAATTTCTAAAGCCTAAACCTCTCCAAGGCCTCTCTCTTGATAGGGCAATTTTTCAGCTACTGAGCATACACACTTACCCTTGAATAAATACTTTCACTCTAATATCCATTGGATTAATATAACACTTAATTAGACCAATGCAGAAAATGAATATGCCATAGTCACAGGAAAACCATTAATGGTTAATGAAAGACTGAATTTATTTACTTTGCTTATTAACAATGTCCTGATTTTTTGTTTTCCAAGTTTAGATTTTACCTAAGGTATGCCTGTTATCTATCTATTTGGCCCATATGTAAAGTATGCATTTATTTGGTCGACCAATAGTGAGAAAAAAAGAATGTTGGCTTTTGCTCATATTAAATACTGAATGAAAGAATAATTTTCTCTCTTATCTGTAAAATAAACATATCTATATACTTTTATTTTACATATATACTTTATTATATATTATTTGTTTATATATATTTATTTATATATTATTTTATATATAAAAGTATATGTATATATACACACACACACACTTTCATTTTAGGTTTGGGGGTACATGTGAAGGTTTGTTAAACTCATGTCATGGGGGATTTTGCACAGATTATTTCATAACCCAGGAATTAAGCCCAGTACCAAATAGTTATCTTTTCTGTTCCTCTACAGAAACAGAGCCTTTTTAAAAGATCAAGCTAAATTGACAGCATAATCTTTTGTTTGGCAAAAAGGTTCATTATTTGAAAATTACAAAAGTGAATTAATCAGCTATTTTATTATTATTAATCTTCAAGGTAGCAGTTTTTTTTTTTCCATTTATTTATTTTATTGCATTTTAGGTTTTGGGGTACATGTGAAGAACATGCAAAATTGTTGCATAGGAACACACATGGCAGTGTGATTTGCTGCCTTCCTCCCCATCACCTACATCTGGCATCTCTCCCCTTGCTATCTCTCCCCAGCTTCCCACCCCCCACCCTCCCTCCCCTATTTCCCCCCAACTGACCCCAGTGTGTAGTGCTCCCCTCCCTGTGTCCATGTGTTCTCATTGTTCAACACCCACCTATGAGTTTTAAGCCTGGTTTAACAGAAAAAGGCTAGGGTTGAGGGAACCAAAGCAACTCCCTAAAACTGTGGGAGAAAATGCTGTGGATATGTCTGTATTTTCATTTGTTCTCATGTAAGGGTCCACAGATTTTATGTGGTAATAAAAGGAATTTGTGCACCAATTCGTGAACAGATCTGTTTTTGCCTTCGTGGAGGAGGGAGGCATTAATCAAGTAATAATGACTATATAATTATAAACTATGTGATTATAAGCTATGGCAAATGTTATTTTAGAAGTATGGGAAACTATAAAGCACTTCCTACAAATATTGGGTCTCATCTAAATATGTCAGAAAGTCTTGCCTGGGGGCTTGCTGAAGCCACTCAATGTCCAAGTTGAGATCTGAAGAACTAGCACCTCAGGAAAGAGGAGACTGGAAGGCCAGGTTAACTTAAAGGTGTGTGTACTAGGGCCCAGGAGCAGAGGAAACAGGATGATGCCCAGGACTTGGAGGAGGCCTACAGCATTGAAGCACAAGATCAAGGTTATGTTAGATGACGCTGAAGAGGGGGTATAGGCCAGAGATTGCAGGTTGTGATAAAGATGTGGTCTTAAATATATTGCACATTCTCACTTACATGGGAGCTAAAACATTGGATCTCATAGTGGTAGAGAGAAGAATATTGATTATCAGAGGCTGAGAAGGGCGAGGGTAGACAGGATGGAGAGTGGTTGGTTAGAACACAAGTAAACAGAAGGAGTAAGTTTTAGTATTCAATAGTACATCAGGGAAATGGTAGTGAACAACATATGTATATTTAAAAAACAAAACAAAACTGCAAGAGAAGAACTGTAGTGTTCCCCACAGAAAGAAAAGATAAATGTTTGAGGTGATGGATATCCCAATTACCATTATTTGATTATCATACGTTTTGTACAGGTATCAACATAATACACATGCCCCCAAAATATGTACAACTATGATGTATCAATAAATATCACCTTTACTAAAGATTTTTGTCTTATTTTAAGAGTAATGGAAATCACTGAAAGGCCTTTATGCTGGAGACTGACATCAGATCTGTGGGTTCTTTTGTTTTTGAAACAGGGTCATGTTCTGTCACCCAGGCTGGGTGTACAGTGGTGCAATCCCAGCTCACTGCAGCCCTGAACTCCTGGGATCAAGCAATCCTCCTGACTCTGCCTCCTCAGTAGCTAAAACCACAGGCGTGAGCCACCATGCCTAGCCCCAGACCTATGTTTTTAAAAAAACATGCTTGAAAGTAATTTATAGAGAAGATTAGGAAGAAAGAAAATGGAAGGAGGAAGGGCAGAGAGAAAGTTATTTCATTAGTTGGAAAGAGTATCCAAAGTACCTTGGTTTACTATTTGATTTAAATCAAATACCCTATTACAAATATAATCTAGAATACATCATGTTGCTTAACTGAATTACTTTAAAATATACATTGTTAACAGTATTCCAAAAATAGTATATTTCAATTCCTAAATCATCCATATTTAATTGTCTCTAAAAGGAAATGACTTTTTTTTCCCAAGAGACTCAGTATATCAAAATTCCTCTTAAGGGGTTTGGCTTGAATATAAAAACATTGTAAATATTAATAGGCTTTAAAAATGAATATTACCTTTCAGAGAATATCTGCTTGGCATAAATATTTCTGTTTAATTTATTTAAAAGTATGTAGTTCTAAAACTTAGAGGATTTTAAGCAATACTGTTTGATTTCAGGATTATGATAGGAAAAACACCTAATACCAACAAAACCCATTAAAGTAGTATTAATTTAGATAGTAAATATAAAACTATAATGTCTTATTGTTTATTTTACTATTGTTTGATAAAGATTCAGGGAAGATAAAAACTAAGGATAACTTTTGCTATGACCAATATGTTAGTCTATTAAAAATATTAGAATTTTGTCTACCACTGAAATATTATCATGTTCCCACAACCATACATTTTTCTGGTAAAGTTTCTAAATGCATGGCTATGTTTAGAGTCATACTGTTTTCCTTGAGAATACATGTTGCAGCAAAACGTAAATTATTTTACTGTGCTTTTAGGAAATAATCAGAAAGAACTGCATCTGGGTAAGCTGAACTAACTATGATACTGATAGAAATGAAAGAAGGCCCCAAAGCATCACTTTTTAATTTCTTTTTAACTTTTAGAGTTGAGGCAGAGGCAAGCTTAATGGAAAATTTAGCTTTATAATTTATTTTTTGTTTCTTCTTGCAAGTCTTAATCTAAAGTGGTTTGTTTCCATATCGAGTAGGTGAACAACATAAAGAAACTCAATTTTTGAACAACAATAACAAAAAAGCAATTAATTTGGGTTGTATAATAAGACAATGTCTCCAAACTCAGAGGCCAAATGATCATAACAGTTACAATTTTAGAAATATTCAACTAGCAGAAAAGAATGTAGTTCATGGAATTGAGACAATAATCTTGATTTCTATTAATTTTATATTGAAATGAGGTTTTATTAGTGAACACCATGTAGATCAGCTAAAGTTTGCACAAAATTGAAATGTTCATTTTCTGTTGTACCACCTAATACAAATCAAAGCTAACACCACATCTTTCAAACAATTTCATTTTTCATTCTCAAGGTCAAAGAACAGTTCTGAATTTAGCCAGGTTTACGTATGTTGGTCTAACTCCTGAAACAGCTTGGAAAGGCCACTGGGACAACCACAGTTTTGTCTTTCGGAATAAGTTTGCTCCAGCCTAGCCCACAGGACTGGACTTCTCCAATCATTTCTGTGCAGAGGCCAGGGGTACACACAGTTTCAAACAACACTCCATGGCTATCACTAGCACATAAGCATGTTCCACAGCCAGCCTCCTCTACCACGTAAGACCTGCAAAGCAGGTTTATGTGTCTGGTCTGAAAATCCCTAATCCACACCCAAGCTTAAGTAACATTTCCTGGTTATCAGAAGCTTAACATTTAATGAGATCAACTTCCCAGTTTTTTGAAAACATTTAAGAACTAGTGTCAGAGGTATCTCCTTTGCTTTCAAAAGGAAGACAATAAATTTGTTCAATGAAATGGCTTATTTCAATATTATACCACTGTTTCACAGAACACATGCATTAAATTTTACACTTTGAATATGTACTTTGCACTGTTATCTTCACCATAAGAAAGCTAAACCATTTAAAAGTATTTTATTGCCAAATGAAAATGTTTATTCTTCAAGATGAACACACACACACACATACATGTATACACATACATATGTATATTTATTATTTTCTTCACGAGGCTTTGACTCCATTATATGGAGAGTTTGCAAAGTGACAAAGCATCAATTACCTTCTTTGTGACACTGTATTGTCAAAAACATAAAATACTGAAAAATTGACTTCATTCCCCAAAGAAAACCTAAGAGACCCTGAGTTGAATCAAGTTAATTTAAAGCAACTAGAAGTTTAAGCACATCATCCCCAAAGTTAAAGGCTCTGATTGAGAAGGCTCTTGCAGGTAGCAAGGAGCAATACCCACCGTCTTGCTGAGGTAGCCTGTGCTGGTGTTCATGCACTGTAGCCCCTCACTGTTGCAGCAGCCCCCACATCTGTAGACGGACACACATGGAGGTTTAAAGAAGGTGTTTGTTGCAGCTCCAAACTCCTTCCCCACATCTATACACACCTCCCGTGGCATGCATTGAGTCTTTCTCCACTCATTATCAATACCTGTCAAGTCACAGGGAAGCCAGTCAGTTTTACAGAAACCACCAAGGGAAAAAGCCCACAGCAACTGCAAGTCACGTACATTCAGTTTCAGATTTTAAGATTAAAGTACAATACATAACTAAAGAGACCGCTGATGGGATCCTAAGTTGACTTGTGAATGAGAATATGATGTAACATTGAAAAAACAGCTAAGGATATTTTCTTTAAAGAACTCATTGCTATAGCCAGGCAATGAGCAAAATTAAAATTGTGCTTTATTAAAAGTACACCAATATCCCACAACACTAACATTTGGTTTTCCTTTCTTAGGAAAATGGTAATTTAATATATGAATGTTTATAATATGTGCAGATACTCATGTTAATTCTCTATAGTATGGGCAATTTTTGTGCTCTCAATGCAAATACAAATATAATTTTATTTTCCTTTAAAACTGAATTGCATACAAGAAGATGGCTATGGTTTCGGGTTCAAATTAAAATCCTTCTCAGATTGACTATTTGGCAACCTTGAATAAAGTCATGGCAGTAGCCACGTGAAATGCAAGGTTATTTTCCACCAACTGGACTCATTCTGAACTTTCTTCAGCCAGGTCAATTTTTCCTATCCCTTTCAGCTTTCCTTTGAAATTTTGTTTCTGATGAGTTAGTGGCTTACCTATAATACTGTTGACTTTTTAAATTCTGCATTACAAATGATGTACTTCCTAAGTATACTAGTTTATTTCTCCCATATTTCCCCTAAAAGATAATTTTTGGAAAAGGACATACACTATTGGTTATACAACTGTGAAGTCATTTTGTTTGTTTGCCTTTGTCCTCAAAATGCTTTCCAATATCAAACTTTTATACCAATTAAGAGCTACCAACTGAAGGCTAGTACTTTTTAAAATTACTCCACCAACTTTTTTTTTTTATTAATAGAGATGAGATCTTGCTGTGTTGGTCAGGCGGGTCTCTGTCTCCTGGCTTCAAGCAATACTTCCACTTTGGCCTCCAAAAAGGCTCGGATTACAGACATGAGCCTCTGTGCCCAGTCCTACCCCACCAATTTATGCTATAACATTGTATGCAACATGATCATTTTTTGTGAAGCTTTATGCTAGATACCTCATCAGCTAAGTCTCGCTCTGAGCCAGTTAGCTATGAAGCAGCAAGGCAACAAGTGGCATCTGAAAAGGTGATTTCAAATGAAGCGTTTCTAAATCCAAATCAGACAGAAAATTAAGACATAATTATTTAATGAGATAAACAATGTTTAAGTTACTAAACAGGTATAGTGTGTAAAATACAGCTATCTGTTTAAAAATTTCCCATGGCTATCACCTGAAAACACCTGAAAATGTGTGTTGTTATGCATGGAGCTATCAATCTTGTATTTTAAGAAATGGTCTTGATACTCAAAGTGAAATCACAAAATGGTGCATTTTGAAGTAATTCTTTATTTTCTATTTGCTTTCCGCCCTAAAGGTGCATTCAGTGATACAAACACTGAAGTTAAAGAACCAGGCTAGCAACTTCCACTGGTTTGTTATATAAGGCTCACCATACATTTTCTTTCTCATACTTACTTTTCAAGATCTCTGCATTATAATGTGCTGCAGCGAATTTTATAGTCTCTTCTGTCCTTGAGTTGAGGTTGGCTTGTTCTTTATTATGTTGCCAGCCTCCTTTCCTTAGCTGACATTTGTACATTTTCCAATATTCTGGGTAGAGTACAGTCATGAGTTCATCTACACTGGACACAGACCGCAACTGCTCCTCCAAATCTTTGCTTGCATAAGCCTGTCAAAGAAAAATGCAAGATCAATTACTTAACAGTTTAAGGGATTTAGAAACAAACGCACTATAAAACTGTTAGTTTTAATATTATCTATGCTCTGCTCCCTAACAAATATATTATTAATTACTCCTAAATTGCTTCACTTTCCTTGGTAAAATTATAACTGTATTTTAATTTGTATGAACCAAAACAATTTAAAATACATATTTTGTTGTTAGGACAAACATTTTGTGATACAATTATAAAATAATTTTAAAGTAGCTTATTTGTTTTATTCATAGCTCTTTTAAGTAATTGGTCAATTTGTAAGTTTGAAATTTTTTTCATTTGCATCACCCTACTAAACAGATAAAATTACACAGAAATCTGCCCTAATGCTTGGCTTCATTTTTAGTTACCAGCAACAATACAATAAAATTAAGCAGGATGCTTGAGATTAGGAATTTTACTTTCATGGGGTCTATTTCAGAACAAATAATCACATGAAGAAAGGAATTTCAACAACAACATCACAGTAAGATTTTTATTTTGGCAGAATCGCTCAATATTTCAAAGAAAATTTTGTAATCAAGATTAATACCACTTTTATAAATGAAATAGTTCAGAGAACACTATATCACCTTGTTAACAACTGACTGCATATATAAGTGTGTTCATTTAAGTAGAACATTTCAAATTATATTTTAGTAGTTACCATATCTAAGAAATAAATGCAATTTTTTTTCTAAATTATACTTTAGAATTTGGAAAAAGGAAAGTTGTATAGCTCTATCTATATGCCAAGTGAAATATGACATCAATTGTTTATTTTATATTGTCATGATTATCCCAGATTTTAAATATAAATACATAAGTAAATACTTTGGACATTGGTTCTCAAAGTTTAGTGGGACTAGGAGTCAATGAACAAGCTGTTAGAAATGCAGGTAACTGTCCCCCACCTCTCCATGGTTTCTTGGATGGATGAATAATCTACATTTTAACAAATTATAGTTTTTCCTTTGTAATTTTTGAAGCACAAAATTAATATATTTGCCTTAAAATTGAAATCCTATTAAATCTGAAAAGTATTTTTCACTTCCATTTTTATAATCCAATTCATTCTATATAAGTGTATTTTGTACTATATAGTGAGAAACACAATCTAATCTCATTTTCTTATTACAGCAGAGCCTCCTAAAAATAAGGCAGACAATTCTTAATACGAAATGTGTTGCTTCCTATTAGATAATGAAATTGGCTATGAATGTTGGGTTTACCATTTCACTACCATTTATGGTGTGATTTGAGCATATCACTTAATCTCTATAGGTCTATGTTAGAAAAATGCTTACATTAATCTATTACTTTCTGAAATATATGGGATGATTCCTGATATACCATACAACTATATAAAATAGAATTCTACTGAATATGTGAAGGGTGTGGGTGAGGAGGAGATCTTAGTTTAAATGAAAGTTACAAAATATTCTCTCACATTTTCTTAAACGTTTATAAAATATTTGCCAAAAAATCTCACTTATGACACAAAATTCAAAAGTGTTTCAGAATCTAAAAAGATGACTACTGAAGGGAAAACTTATAAAAGTAAAAGTGATCATAAAAATCACACAACATGTGAGGAGATGGGTATGTTAACATGATCATCATTTCACACTGTATAAGTACAGCAAAATATCACATCATATACCATAAATATATGACATTTTTGTCAGTCACACCTCAATAATGTTGGAAAAAGTCAGTGTACAGGTATATTTTTGGTCACTGTTACCTGCAGTAAAATGTCACAGATCAGTTTTTGTTTGGTTCTGCTTGTTGAATAGTCCTAGAACAAAAGGAACAATAGGGAACTGTGTGTGATTGGAAGGTTCCTGGAACCCTCTGCTACAAGTCAGCTGGGATTAAAGACAGGTTGTAACCTAGACTGATCACACCAATTTCCAGAACAGGCCTGCATGTTCAGTCTAGCAAGAGGAGCTGCAATACAACATCCTTACACAATATAATGGTGATATTCACCAAACTCTTAAGAAAGGGATAATGGCAGACAGAGACTTTCAACTAAGTATTATTTGAAGTTTTAAGGAAAACAAATTACTTTTGTATTGTGAAGCTCAGAAATAAGAAATAACTATAACAATATTTATATCTATGAGAAAAAAAAAAAACTGTTCCCCAACAGATCAACTGGAGAACAACATAAGCATAAAATTCACAAGAGGGAAAATGCAATATAAAGAAATGGAAAAAAAAAAAAACCACTAGAAAAGTTATTACTTATACTCTAAGGCTGAAAAAGGCCTTTTGAAAGTGGATATAAAATAAAATGAAAATATTTGTATGACAAAAAACACTACAAACAAAGTAGGAAGTTATTTGCAATATATATGAGATCAAAATGAACTAATATTCTTAAAATATTACACAAATATACTAATGAAAAAATAAACTGGTGCTTCAATAGAAAAATGGGCAAAGTCAAATGGTATTTCTATTTCTAGATCCTTGAGGAATATACCATCTGACCCTGCAATCCCATTACTGGGTATATACCCAAAGGATTATAAACCATTCTATTATAAAGACACATGCACACACATGTTTACTGCAGCACTGTTTACAATAACAAAGACTTGGAACCAACCCAAATGCCCATCAGTGATGGACTGGATAAAGAAAATGTGGCACATATACACCATAGAATACTGTACAGCCATAACAAAGGATGAGTCCATGTCTTTTGCAGGGACAAAGATGAAGCAGGAAACCATCATTCTTAGCAAACTGACACAAGGACAGAAAACCAAACACCTCATGTTCTCACTCATAAGTGGGTGTTGAACAATGAGAACACATGAACACAGGGAGGGGAACAACACACACTGGAGCCTCTCAGGGGGTTGGGGGGGTAGGGGAGGGATAACAGGGGGTGAGAGGATTGGGAAGGGATAACAGTAGGAGAAATACCTATTGTAGATGACCAGGGGATGGATGCAGCAAACCTTCATGGCACGTGTATACCTATGTAACAAGCCTGTATGTTCTGCACATGTACACCAGAGCTTAAAGTATAATGAAAAAAGAGAAGTAAAAACAGCCTAAAACATTTTTTAAAAAAGAAAAATGGGCAAAAAACTTAAACTGAGTATTAACAAAGAAGAAATATAAAAAATATATATTGTATAATGGCAGAAGTGAAGGAAACGATAATTCTTTTCAATCCTAGTATAGGTATAAATTTGTACATCTATTCAAGGAAAACGTGGTATTGCAAGTTGAAAGGCCTTTAATACATGCTCCATTTAGATAGTCAATTCACTGTGGAATTAAATTTCCTATCCAACCGAAATGATAGAATTCTGTCATGTATATGTACAAATTCACTGTGCAGCTGTCTATATAATAGAATATATAAAGCAACCTAGCAGACCAGGTGACATGGTCACGCTTGTAATCTCAGCACTTTGGACGGCTGAGACAAGCAGATCAGGAAGTCAGGAGTTTGAGACTAGCGTGGTCAATGTGAAAGCCTGACTCCACTAAAAATATAAATATTGGTTGGGTGTGGTGATACATGCCTGTAATCCCAGCTATTCAGGAGGCTGAGGTTGCAGTAAGCAGAGATTGTGCCATTGCCCTCCAGCTTGGGCAACAGAGTGAGACTCTGCCTCAAAACAAACAAACAAACAAACAATGCAACCTATACAGAAAATAAGAAAGAATTGATGAGGTAACGTATAATAAAAACAGAAATAAGCACAGAAAGGAATATAATCAAACTCTATAATGATGATACAGAAGTATAACTTAGATATGTAAAGAGGTTCATTATATATTCTATGACAAAGTAAGATACACAATTTATACACGACACACACACGAAGGATCATATATATATAATTAAATATAATATTTTCACAAAATTAAATTTATAGATAGATTACATATGTGTGTGTGAGTAAAGAGTAAAAGATATGCAACACACAAAAAAAATAGTTATCTTCTCCGAATTAAGGTAATCATGCTCTTCTTTATACATTTCTGTATTTTAAATTTTAAATGATTATGTAACTTTTTTTTTTTAAAAAAAGAAAGAATGAAAGAAAGAGAAGGAAGGAAGGAAGGAAGGAAGGAAGGAAAGAAAGAAAGAAAGAAAGAAAGAAAGAAAGAAAGAAAGAAAGAAAGAAAGAAAGAAAGAAAGAAAGAAAGAAAGAGAAAGAAAGAAAGAAGAAAGAGAAGGAAGGAAGGAAGGAAGGAAGGAAGGAAGGAAGGAAGGAAGGAAGGAAGGAAGGAAGGAAAGAAAGAAAGAAAGAAAGAAAGAGAGGAAGGAAGAGAAAGAGGAAGAGGGAGAGAGAACGGGGGTGTTGCTTTATTGCCCGGGCTAGAATGCAGTCTAAAAATGGGTATGCCTGTAATTGTGCTTAATAATAGAGACACAAAAAAAAATGAGGGAAGAAAATAACAAACAAGCAGCCAACCAATATTTCATTTAAACCTGTAAATAGATGTGATGTGGTACTGATAAGAGTGTATATTTTTTGTATTTAAAGTGGAGAGTTCTATAAATGTTAATTAAATTTACTTGTTCTGGATCTAAGTTCAAATCCTGGATATCGTTGTTAATTTTCTGTCTCACTGATCTGTCTAATATTGATGTTGAAGTCTCCCACTATTGTGTGGGAGTCTAAGTCTCTTTATAAGTCTTATATATCTGGGTATTCCTGTATTGGGTGCGTATATATTTAGGATCTTTAGCTCTTCTTGTTGCATTGATCCTTTTATCATTATGTAATATCCTTCTTTGCTTCTTTTGATCTTTGTTGCTTTAAAGCAACTCCTGCTTTTTATTTATTTATTTTTGCTCTCCATTTGGTTGGTAAATCTGTCTCCATCCCTTTGTTTTGAGTCTGTGTATTCTTGCATGTGAGATGGGTCTGGATGCAGCATACCGATAGGTTTTGGCTTTTTTTGCCTGTCTGTGTCTTTGGATTGGGGGATA